GAGAGGGAAGGAAAGAGAGAGAGAGAGAGAGAGAGAGAGAGAGAGAACAAATGGCCACATTTTTTTCTGAAAACTCTTTTCTCCAGAGCAGAAATAAAAACATGGGGTGAAGGGTAGAGCTGGCTCACTGGTAGACTGCATGGGGAGCCCGCTGCATGAAGTCTGGATTTCATTCCCGGTACCAAAAGAGGGAAGAGGGAAGGAGGGAGGGAGGCAGGTAGCAATAACAATTGAGTTAGATACAAGAAATATTGTCTGAGGCATCTTAGATAAGTCCCTTCCCTTCCATAATGATGCTGCAGATGATGTTATAGGAGGTCTGTCCTGTACTCACTTCCCTCTCCCCAGGTCTCCTAGGCAGGCCAGCTAGAGAGGGGAAACTTGGGTATTGAGCTGTGACTCCATCATTACCACAGTGGCTGTCCTCTATGTATGTTCATTTATAGAGTATTCTCACATGAAGTGCCTTCGCTGGTGTTGAGGTAGCCTTTTGGCTTTTGTAATCCCATGCGCAGGAAAGCTGAGGCTCAGAATTCTAGGGTAAAGGTCATAAGAGGTGGAAAAGCAAAAAAAATCTCCATATCTTGGCTTTCTAGGTTCAGAATGGAAAGGTAGATTATTTTTTTCATCACGGAACATAATTGACATAGCAATGGTCTGTATTCTATGAAAAGGCTGGTTGGAGAACCATTTCTTTTTGTTATAATTATTAGAGCACGTTTATGGGCTTTGAGACATTTCCATACATAAATGTAATGTGCTTTGATCCCAGCCACCCTTCCTGCTACCTCTTTCCCCACTCAGCTTTCCTGTTCTTCAGTAATCACTCTTTGACTTTCAGATCTTTGTTTGTATAGACAAAACCTCTATTCTATACAATATTATATTATTGTGTCCATGTACTATATGTATAGAATCCATATATATATATTCCATTTGTCTGGTGATGAGCTCTAGGCTGATTCTGTAACTTGGGGAATATGAACAGCATTGCAGTGAATTTGGGTTTGCTATTTTTTGTTTGCTTCATTTTCTGTGGGTGTACACTCAGAAGTGGTATAACTAGATAATATGATATTTTGATTTTTAAGGTTGTTTTAAAATTGGTTTTTCATTGTGGCTATACAAATTTGTATTTCCTCCAGCAAGAACTGTTCCTTTTTCTCTCACATCCTTGCCAGTCAGCATTTTGTTTGTTTTATAATGGTAACCATTCCAACTGTAGTGAGATAGAATTTCAATGTAGTTTTGATAGTATTGGTTTATATTTCTATGATGACTAAAAATGTCAACACTTTATTTGGCTATTGCTCTTCTTTTGAGAAGTGACTGTTCTGAGAATTTCCCTGTTTTTGCTTGTTTAGTAGATTACTTACTTTGCTGTTAATTTTTTTGTTAATTATTTGGGATACCAAGCCTCTGTGATTAATAGCTGGCAAGAACACCCTTTTCTTCCATTATGCACAGTTTCCTCTCAATTTGTTTATTGTTTTCTTTCCCATGCAGAGCTTTTAAGTTTTAATGTAATCATACTTGCAAATTCTTGCTTTCATTCTCCAAAACAGAAGGGTCCTGTTCAGGAAATTGCCTATCTAAGATCTTGAAATAGTCTCCTATGATTACCTACAGTAGTTTCAACTTTTCCATTAAGGTTTCAAATTCTTTTTGTTTTGTTTTGTTTTCAAATTGGGAGTTAGATAGCTAATCACAATCCGCTGTAGATTCGTGGGCTTGTTTTTGAGTTCTCTATACTCTTCATTGGTCCCCATGTTTGTTTACTATGCTGTGCTGTTTGTTTTTCCTAAGTCACTCCAGTTTATTTTGAAATTGGGCATGATAATAGACCTAGTATTATTCTTCTTGGCCTTGGTTTCTTTGGCTATTCTTTGCCTTTATGTTTCTGTATTAATTTAAAGTTTTTTTCCATTTCTGTGTTTGAGTATATTGGTGAGGATGTATGCTGACTCAGTACACTGCTCTTGCTAGTATGGGCATACTCATGGTATTCTGCTAATCTATGGTCATGGAAGCTCCTTCTACCTTGGATTGCCCTTTGCAACTTCCTTCTTTAGTGTGATTCTCACTGAAGCACTTTTCCTTCTGCTGACTTTGTTTTGTTGTTGCTGTTGTTTCTTTTTCTTTCCTAGGACCTTGAGGTGCATTGTTACATTAGTTAGGGACTTCACCCAGTACTAATCTCAGTACTAATTTCCCTGTATCCCACAGGTACTGTTATCTTATTGGCTTCCAGTTTATTTGATCCTAGGAATGTTGAAAGTTCTCCCGATTTCTTTTGTGACCTACTGCTTATTCAAAAAGTCCATTTTTTCAGTGTCTGTTTGTATAGCTTCTTTAGTTTTTCTTACTGTTTATTTCTAGTTCCATTGTTATTTTTTTCCCATGCATACAAATGGCAGAACATTTATTCAGCCGGAAATGAAAGAAATTATGTCACTTTTGCAAAATGAATGGGTAGTCATCATGTTAAGACAAGTAAGCCAACTATGATCACTTAAGGACTGGGGATTTCCTTTCATATGTGCGACTTAAAGAAAGGTGATCCATCGGAAAGTCAAAGAGGGACTACTAAGACAAGTAAAGGGACAAAAGGGGAAGTAGGAAGATGGCTGTGACCAAAGCACACTGCACATGTGTTTGGAAATGTCACAGCAAAACTCATTAATGCCTGTTATAATAAAAGAAATGGTTCTTCAGTCGACACGTAAGCAGAATGTGGGAATGCAATGTTCATTACTGTGGCAGTTATTAACTGTTCTATAGTGGACATTATTTTTGTGGGGAAGATGTGCCCTAGCGTGTGCTGATGGGAAGAATGATTCTTGAACCCAGTGATCTCCCTGTGCTGCCTCTGAGCACGGGACTTACAGGCACGCTCTGCCATTTGCAGTCTGAATCACTAACTCTTACAGGAGTCTTTTGACCTTGTTTTTCATAATTATATTTCTTTGTCGAAATTGCTTTATCTGCTGTCATGGAAATATATTAACCAATTAAAAGGTGCAACTATCCTAATGCTATGAACATTGGAAGAGAAAGGTGAAAGTAACATACAGTAAACTAAAAAGGTTAAAAATTAATGAAAGTGAAAAAGGATTAAAGACTTGAAAAAAAGGAATAAAATAGTAGAAGAGAAGAAAAAAGAGCCAATTAAAAACTAAAACAGTAAGTTAATATGTTAGAAGGATAACAACAGCCCTGACCTTCTTGCCAGAGTGCTTGGACTGGAAGTGACTCCCTGTGGTCTTCTTCTAAACTCAGATCCCCCAGGTGTGAAAGGCCAGTGAGTTGTAGCTGAAACCAGTTGCCAACCTTCTCTGTTTCCACCCTAACAATTTAGGTCAGTATCCAGGCTGCTCCCTGACTGTTTCCTGCCACACAGGTTAATTAGTGGTGACTCTGAAGGTTTTTATATGTATATCAGAGGTGTGGCAAAAGTCTGCCTGCCAAGAGCCCTTAGAATGGCCAGGCTGTGCTGTGTTTAAGGATGCTTCTCCACAGTGTAGGAAACAATTGAAACAGTGAATTCTGTGACAGACTTGGCAGCCGGTGTCTGTGCATTCAGCCCCAGACCCTGGTGCATCAGTTTTCACTCCTCCTCACAGAATGGGACTGTCTATGCTGAGCTCCCCTGTCCCCTTTATACCATCCCCCTCCCCGTGTAACCCTCACAGGGCACTTGTCACTGATACCCTATTAGCAACTGTATTGTTGAGTGGCATCCCACCTTGTCGCTGTTACATAAGTCTTCTTAGGTCTCTGAGTTGTGATTCAATCTCTGTTTTCTGTTTTTTTGTTTGTTTGTTTGTTTGTTTTGTCCTTCCTTTAGAGTTTAGTTCCTAGAAATAGAACCTTATTCAAAAAAATGGCTTCCAATTGAGCCATTGCAGTGTTGTTGAGCTGATCAATCGGCATGATTTCCCTGGTAGTAGTAGGTTTTTTAGGTATTTATTAGGTACGAGTACTACATTGAGACCAGACTCTTGTTCTGGATCTACAGCTGCAGAAGATTAGGTTTCTCTGGTAGTTAGGACTTCCATTCTGCTGCCATCAGGTGTTGCTGGGACCTTCACACTCACCTTATGATTGCAGCTTGCAGCATGGTGTTTTCCTCCCCAAAGAGGCTGGCGGGGGTTGAAATCCAGAACTGCTTTGTGCTTGTCTGAGGCCTTCTAATTTCTGTTATTTGCCTTATCTTCACTTCCTGTTGGTTCCCAGCATTCTTTTGGCTTTCAGCCCTGAATATCCATGCTCATTGATTGCACTGACTCTTCTTAGACACTGGGAGGCAGGCCAGGGTTCTTCCTCTTCTTAGGATTTCTTTTAGAAATTCATTTTTTATGGAAGCATAGTGCCCTATTATCAACATGTCTTCATGAAATTCTGCTCTAACTAAATATCATGACTAGGTAAGTAATGGTTCAGCCCCCTTTCAAAAGGAATGCTTATTTTTGCTTCCCACAAACAGAGAACGAGAGCAAACTGAACTGGAAGGGACCAGTGGTGTGGCTGAGATGGACCCAGGACCAGGTCTTGCTAACCCTTTCCAGCCCATAGCAGCAGTAATCATGGAGGTATGGATTCTGGCACTATGCATTTTTATTTTAAATAGTACAGTTGAAATTTAGTAATGGTGGTTAGGTGTTGGGACAACAGGCAGGACAGCGGAGAATGCCCCCAGAATTTCCAATGAATGTGACTATGTGGAGGTTAACCATTTTTTCCCACTCAGTTTTCTATAGGGCCTGGGGATATAGCACAGTTTAAATGCCTGTCTAACATATCACAATCACTTTTAAAAATCATGTTTAGTACAGTGTAAAAAGAGAATTATGACTTCAAAATATGCAGGAGTAAAAGTAAAAGTTGAATATTTCATAGTTACTGTTTTTGATAAAACTTAGTTTTGCCATATTTTTTGTAGTACTGACATTTGATCCGTTTTTGTACCAGGATTGATATTATTTTCTCATTGTGATAATGGAAAATTTAATATTTATATTTTAAATTATTATACTCATGTATTTTACATATTGACATAAATGCAAAGCATTCAAGCTATGTGATAAAGAAAAATAGAATTTATTACTTTGAATTTAGAAGAATTTCTGTACAGAACTAAAATGTCCAATGAAAACTAAACTATAAATAAAATAACCCTGATGCTAAAAGACACACCAGACACATGGTCCTATGACTATGTACTAGTACTAGAAATTATTACAAGAATAATAAAAACCTGGACATTGGCAGAACTTGAACCCCAAAGGTGCTTAATAATATTCTCCAGTGGTAACAAAATTATAGTCAGATCACACTCAAATAAAATTAAAACAGTGCCAAGTTAACATTTACTAGTTTAGCAGTACTACAGATTTACACTGGGCAGTGACTTAGAGATGCCTGAGCATGTAGCCCATCGGTACAGCAGTTGCCTAGTAGATACAAGACCCTAGGTTCACTCCCCAGTTCCTCCCTCCTCACAGTCAATTAGAAACAAATGTCACTCTCCTAACCCTGGCCTATATAATTGATTCAGTTTTTCTGAATGGCAGTTTGCTTTATCACATATTTAAAAATGTACTGATCAACTGACCTATAGCTATTCCACTGTTAGGAATGTCATTTAAAACATTAAGGCAATTTGCTTCTTATAATGGGGAAACATTACATATAACTTCATCTGTTGGGATGTATAAAACAAGTTATAATACGTGCCGAATTCTGCATGACTCAAGGTATGGTCATAAATAATCAAGGTGATAAGGGAATGAAAAAGAGACAGACACACAGAGAAAAGTGGGGATCAGGTGGTCTGGGCTCTGGTGGAGAAGCCACAGCACATTGGAAGCTCAGTGTGTTTATTATAGACAACTGAACAGGGGGGTGGGGTTATTGCTTTCAGGGGAACAAGGAGGCAGCATTGTTACATACTTCAGAACAAGGAGGCCAGGTTAGCCACTTTCAGTAGGAAGAATCTCTGTAGGGGAGCAGTCTTGACGTTACAAACAAGAGACCTACCAGGAGAGTTTTCTGCACACACTGTCAACATTTGGTTTTAGACTCCTAGGGAGGCTTTGTCATCCCTTTGAACCTTACCCTGGGCTTGGGGATGGAGTGGCTCCAGTGGTTCTTTGCCACTCCCATAGTCTGACATATTGCAGTCCTGATGGGGCTATGCCCAAGTCAACAATAGACATTCACTCAGGACTTTCTCTATAATGATACAGCCATTTAAAAATACTAGTGTAATTGGGGAACTAGGGAAGGAGGTAATTCCATTTTCCACAAACATGAGGACCTGAGTTCAGATCCCTAGATGAGTGGTTCCCTGGGTGTCAGACAGGACATAGAACTGCTCTGCTTGGAGAGATGAGAGTGAAAACCCAGTGCAGATTGACTTCGTCAACCTGGATCAGACTTCTTTGGGGAGTCCAGAGTCAGGAGGTCCAGTGTTAGCATATTTAAAATACAATGAATTTTGGGAAAAGGTTTCCAGGCAACAATCAATCTTTACAAATTACATGTGACTAAGAGGGTGGGTTCTATAGTTAAAAGACCTAGAATCTAGTGTGATCTCTGACCAAGCTAGTATAGAGGTAGACAGGATAAAGTACATGCGACATCTCCTCTAAGGATGAGTAATGGTCTGGGGAGGGAAGAGTCTGGGATAATCATTCTGGGGAGTTTGGGTGAGGTCCATCTCTATAGCAAAAGGTGGGGAGGTCTGCCTCCACCAATAGCAGAAAGGTCACCAGGTGTTAGCAATAACCACCCTAGCCTTCTGGGTGGGAAACAGGTATTTTATCTCCTCCGCTGAGAAGAGGTCCCTGTGTGTTTAACAGTCCTGGTTTTCCTAGTGATCTGTGGGTACAAGGACCTCTGTGCCCCCAATACCTAGAACCATGGGCATGGAGGAATGTGACTCTAATTCAGGGGCTGGGGGACACAGTCAGGGATCTCTAGCTCATCAGCCAGCCTGTCTAGCCAAATTTGGGTTCAGATTTACTTAGAGACCCTATCTCAAGCCCTGTGCTGCCAGCCTCTGTACTTTACATACACCCACATTAACAAGTGTATATACATGCATGCATGCATACATACATACTAAAAACACAAACAGAAATGTTAATTCAATTGATAAAAATAATAGGAGCTAACACACAATATTTACTGCACCTGAGGTGTGTTTTAAGTACTTCATGTGTTACTTAACATGGAAGGAAACATTTTAAAATAAAACCTTGAGTTCAATTTTGTTTCATCAGCAAGTAAAGACTTGTATGTAGAGAGAATCACATTCATGTATGTTTGTTGGTGATGTTTGTCTATATGAGTGTGGGAGAGGCTGAGAAAACATGCTATCATTATAAATGGGATCATGGTCATCTCTAGACTATGAAACTAGAGGCATTCTTCATTTTCCCTTAGACCTCTGTAGTGGATATTTAGCAGTTCGTATATTTTAATATATATTCACAATTCCTTGTGAAGCTTACAGTGGCATTGATTCACCAAAGTGCTTACTTGGTATCTTCCTTGAAATTATCTTTAATGTCTCCATGGTGATAAAGATAAATATCTTTCATTTTATTAGAATGAAAAAAAGCAAGAAAAAGAGAAAAAGAAGCAGACTGCGGAGAAGGAGAGTGAGGTTTGCCTCCCAGAACACAAAGTGGAGCAGGGGCAAGTAGAGTCACAGAGCCAGCCTAGTGGCTGCCACAAAAACAGTGACAGTGGAGTGGTAGAGAGTTACAAGGAGGCCCTGTCACAGCAACTGGACAATGAAGATGAGCTAGACCATCGATCCTCAGAATCAGGTGCTAGGTCTTATCATTTCATACTTGCCTTTTGCTTGAATTCATTTGCATCATGTTCACAAAAATGGCTCTGCAATATAATAGTTTTCATTTCCGTTTTGATTGTACATGAAATGAGATGATTCATATTACATTTGCTCACTTTAAAATAATTGTTTTCTAGATGTATTTGTATTTCCTATAGCTTTGTAGGTTTCATGGATGTTGGCTATTGCTTATGTTACAGATAATTTTCAGTTTAGAAAATGTATTGTTATATATCTGGTATGTTGCATGTATATTTAAATAGATGAAATATGTTTAAGAGTTCAGAATTTTTAGTCAAAATATTTTTGTAACTTTGTTCTAAATTCATTCATCACACTGTTCAATTTTGGTTTTATGCTATTAAAATGTATACATTAATATAGAGATCCTTAATATGGTCATGTGTGGTTATTTGAGAGCCTGTGTGGTTTCTGTTTTTGTTTTTGTTTTTTTTAAGAATAGTAGATACTGCTAGGTCTACCAGTGTGATGTTGGTTACATACATTTATATTAGACATACCTTGTTTAGAGACTAACGAGTAATGTGTTTAGATTTGGTGGGCTCTTAGCCAAATTTTAAATGGTTAGTTTTTGGAGCACTTGGCCTTAGAATCAATCATTCTACATCTCTCTCTCTCTTTCTCTCTCTCTTTTTTTTTTTCAAGACAGGGTTTCTCCGTGTAGTTTTTGATACTATCCTGCACTCACTCTGGAGACCAGGCTGGCCTCGAACTCACAGAGATCTGCCTGCCTCTGCCTCCCGAGTGCTGGGATTGAAGGCGTGCGCCACCAATGCCCGGCCTCTACATATCTCTCTTGAAGAGTGTCACCATGTCTCCTCTTTGCAGACCTTTCAGAGTTTTATGGAAATCCGCACACTTAGATAATTATAATTGCTTACAATGATCTTGAGTTTGGAAGAAATACTAGTTAATTTTGGAAATGAAGACCTTGCTTAGAAATTGGTTGTGTGTTTTATTCATTAATCATATACTTATTCTGTCAGCCATCTAAAATGTAGTCTTAGTGTGTGTAAGTTCATACTTGGTTGTTGATAGTAATTCCCAAGTTGAGTTTAATCAGTGGTTGTGATAATAATACCAGTAGTCTCATTTTATTCTTTTTTTTACATTATAGAAGTTTACTTTTTCATGAATTAAAGTTCCATGTCTCTATTCTTACAGATAACAGTAAAAAGAAAACTAAGAAGCTAAGAATGAAAAGGAGTCATCGGGTAGAGCCAGTCAATACAGATGAATCTGCTCCTAAGAGTCCCACACCTCCCCCGCCTCCCCCTCCTGGTGAGTCAAGTGAAAGTGACCCTGGGTATGGAAACCCTGTTGTAAGCACTGTAGGAGAAATGGGAGAAGAGATTAAGAAGTTTGTAGTTATGTTTTCATTATTTTGCCAGTTTGTGAGAAAGAACCCTTTACTGTCTGTGTTATGCAGCATTTAATAACAATTGTTAATTGTTAATTTCTGTGTTGTTTTAAGAATGAAATGGAAAAAGTAATAATATAACTTTACATAATAATCCCTAGAGTGTGATCAAATTCTATTTGAAATATCTATACCACACATTGCTGAAGGGAATTGAAGTTTAATGGATTGGCAACTAGATTGGGATTTCAAATGCTGGATCATTAATTTTTTATCCTAAACGTTATGTAAATGTGTGTGTGCGATTTTCCTCGATATAAGTGCAACATGAATACCCACCTAAGAAATTGCAGGAGTTAAGGCATGTAAAGCTGTGGGACACAACTACACAACACTGCAAGGAGCCTTCGGCACTGAGCATAGTGTCCCACCTCTCACAGGTGCTGGTAAACGTGTGAACTGAATAAAAACACGCACTCACAATTCCCTTCTAGCCTTTGTGCCAAAGCCTGAAATGGTAATTTTTTTTTACTCTGAATTTTGTAAAAGATCAATTTCTAGTGTTATTTTTTTAACCAGATAGATCTCTTAGCCTCTGCTAGGCGTTATAATGGTAGCCAGTAATTTATTTGTGATGGTGGTAAGAGGTGTGAAGTTTTAATTAAATGTGTGTTAAGAGCTAAATATAACTAATGTATAATATAGTATAGTATAATATAATATGTTAAAGCAGATGTTAGCATCCTATAGTAACATAGTGAATAGAAGCTAGTTAAAAATGTACCTGTTCAGAATTGTGTCACTATATATTCAAACTGACAGAATGTTAAGTATAGTTCCTGTCAAGGGAGGGATCCTCTGAAAAGACCTTAACAACTATTCATTTAACAGAGCTTCTAAATCTTTTTCTTTTCCTTTAGTTGGCTGGGGAACCCCCAGAGTCACTAGACTTCCAAAACTTGAGCCTCTTGGTGAAACACGTCATAATGGTAATGCTAAAGGATGAGTTTTCAAATCCCATCTGTGCATGATACATCCGCTTTTCTTCATCTTATAACTTCACACTTTCAGTGTTTATTTTTGGTAGCTTTCAGATCCACTACCATCATTTTCATTATGCTTTTAACTTTCATTTTGCTGTATTTTTTTTATTTTAAATGCACCTTACAATTATATAATTTGAGTTTTGAAACCTTAATACAAACATATGAAGACTCATTCTTGTGTTTATTCATGATAGACGTTTATAGAAACAATTATGAGGTGGGAAAAGTTTCCCAGCAACTGAAATCTGAGCTACTGCAGTTTTATTTACTGTGCTAGAAAACTGCCACGCCCTATCTATATGATCAGTGCACTGTGTGCTGTTGAACATAATTGCTCTCTCTACTCATAATAAGACTTCCAGTTACTGAACATTAAAATGAAGTCAAGATCAACACAGTGTATAAGATGAGATATCAGACTAGTAAACCAAATACAGAAAGTTTCTTGAAGGCTTTATTGAACCAAGAAAACAATTTTCCTTGATGAAATGGTCATAGCTGTAATCCAGCCAGTGCATTGCCTTAGACCTCCAACAAGTAAAGCCTCAGAAAAGATAGTTAGGACTCAAAAGCAGAAGTCATTCCTGACCAGAAGACTAGGTTTTCATATTGACCTTAGAATGCACTCCCAAGAAGTAAAGCCTAGGAAAAGACAGTTAGACTCACAGGCAGAAGTCATTCCTGACCAGAAGACTAGGTTTTCATATTGACCTTAGAATGCAAAAGAGTAAGTCTAAGTGGAGCTACATAAACTTGTTCGTTAAGAGCATCCAATCCACCTTTTGTGTGAATGTAATAGAACTATGTTTCCTGAAATGATCACTTCAGAGGAAAAGACATTGAATCTTTAGAAAAAGCATCACCATAAACTTTGCGTTTGTCAAACAGAAACATACTATTCGAGAGTTAGTCAGCCCTGCTTCTTGCTTTTGTTTTCAGAATACCGTACAGGTCCCTAATGGTTTCTACTTAATCATTAATGAGAATTAGAAAATCATATTGATAGATGAGTTTATTTACTTCTATTTTATTTACTGATCTTTACACTGTAATATTTTTATTGATGATAATAGGTTAAATCCTGTTTTACTATTAGCCTGAGTTTATTCATATAAGAGTGTTATCAGTTTAAATATTCAGTAATAGAAAATAGTGTTTGTCCATTTATATGTACACACATACATACACAGAAAAATAATTTCTCACAAGATCAAAGAGCTTGCATTGGCAACTTAATGACAGGCCAGCAGACAGGAAGCAGAGAGGGCTCGATCTAGAACCAGAGCAGGAGTGGCCTTCAGAAGCTGCCCCTAGTCACCTGCTCCATCGGTGATGGTGCCAAAACAGTGTCATTAGCTGGGGTCTAAGTACTCACACACATGCACATGTAGGAACAGTTCAGAATCAACACATAGCCTGCCTTCTTCTAGACCCTAGTATTTCATTTTCACCTCACAGTGCAGATACAGTCAGTCTAATTTGAACAGTTTCTGTAGTCTGACCAGTCCCAACACTATTCAGAATTCCAAAGTTCAAAGTTTCTTCTGAAATATAAGTCCCGTAGTCGTGAGCCCTCTAAAATAAAAAGACAGTTACATACTCCCACTAGACAATAGCACAGAATAAACATTCCCTTCCCATAAGGGAGGAACAGAATAGCAAAGGAAGAATGGATCTGAAGCAAGACCAAAGCCTAGTGGGGCCAGTATTAAATCCTGTGTTCCATGTACAGTATGTAGGGCCCATGGCAGTATCATATCAGCTCCAGTGGGCTTGTTCTGTCCTGCACCTGTGGCTTTGTCATTTGCAGCACACGTGGCCTTTCTCTTGAGGCAGCTCCCCAGGACCTGTGGTTTTCTTTGGCAGACACTGCATGTTGTGGTGATCCCAGTGTAGCAGCCTAGGCTTCACCTTCACAAATTGATGATTCCCGCTGTTCAAAACTCTCCTCAGAGAATCTCTATTGCTAAACATGCCCTAGCCTTAGGATGCTCTCTGAACCTCCAGAAGACACCTCCACGATCCTATAACCCTTGCATTCTGTATGTCCCCCAAACCATCGCCACATGGAGAGCTACAAGTTCTGCTGGCAGCGGAAGATAAAGCTAAACTCCCATGGTCTATGGCTGCAGCACTCTGTCTCCTCATGGCTACAAAATGTTTCTCTAGGTGGCTTTTTCCTAGTAGCTCACCTTTTCTGCTCTCTGTAAATGAAAGCCCTGCAAGTGAGTTTGTACTCTTACATTCTAGGACCTTCCCTGGAGCACTAGCCTCCAACTCACCTTTTCTGTCTTCTTGTTGTAGTGCAGGGTTAGAAGTGTGTAGCATCTCTTTTCTGGTCCTAATCCCTTGAGTAACCAGGCCTATTTGTGTTACATGTACTCTTTTCCTTTTCCAGGCCAAACTGCTGCTTCTGTCTTTCTGTTCCACTCTTAGCTCTCTGTTCCACTCTTAGCTCTCTGTTCTCATATACAGTGGCTGAAAGCATCTAACAATAACCATGCCACAGCCTGAATGTTAAACAGCACATAAAATATTCTATTGCTGTTGAATTCAGAATGACTAGGGCATTCTTTGTGTAATGGCCTCTTACCCAATCCCAGTAGAGTCCCTGCTCCCATCTGAATCTTCATGTACATAGCCTTCATGCATGTCTCTGTTGATCTGATGTTCTAGATGTCTAGCAGAATTTCCATTGCTCTTTATATATAGCATCCTAGAGCTTCTCTAGACAATAGCTCTAAGTTCTCTACATCCATCCTGAAAACTGCCTGTAAAAGTCTAACAACTATGTAACAATATTCATCGAAGCAAGGCCTGTATTCCTGTTACTAATTTATTGTAGTTTCCATGGCTTTCAAAATGGCAGCACCAGCAGTTGAGGGTTACTGTGCTGAAACACATGAGCCAGGAAGGGAGAGGGCGATCATGTCAGATGCAAACAATAACAGTGCGGAGTTTTATTTGACACTGGCTAAATATGTGCTATATCAAGATGAATAAGACATGCACTTTACCTGATTTAATGGAAAAAAAATAGTCCTCCAAACTACTCTAGTATCTACGACAGTGAACTTTTTAGTGGAGAATTGCAGTGCTCTTCAGAAACTCCATGGGCAGTTATAGAAAGTACCATAAGAACTAGGCGGTCAAATAAGACAAGCCAGTATAAGCAGGATCCAAAAAGTAAGTATAGCTGTAATCATAGCACCAATGAAGGCTGAGGCAAGAGGATTGGGAGTTCAGGCCAGCTGGGGCTACATAAGCCTGTCTGAAAAAGAAAAGCCAAACAACAGCAACAACAATGGAGAGAGAAAAGAACAATAGTTTTTCACAAAAATACTCTGAAGGCATGGAGTGACATAGTGGTTAAGAGAGGAAACTTTATAGAAAATGGAATTCTGGCCTTGGGCTAAATGGTAAGGCCCTGTATATTAAAATATAAAGGCTTACTGGTAATTTTCAAGAGCCAGTGTTCATTTTTAATGCATGGGTGTTGTGTTAGTAGATTGAATGTTTAAAGAAATAATAAGAAAATTACTTAATGTGTATGAGTGTTTTACCTGAGTGTATGTCTTGTACCATATGTGTACCTGGTACCCGCAGAGGCTGGAAGAGGGCATCAGATCCCATAGAACTGGCATTACAGATGTATGTGAGCCATCTTATGGGTGCTGGGAATGGAGCCCCAATCCTCTGGAAGAGCAGCCAGTGCTCTTAACCTAAGAGCCATCTCCCCAAACCCTCTTCTTTTTCTTAGTTTTGAACACATTTGTTTCCCATTATATACAGATATTCGTGGACGAAAGACTGATGATAAATGCGCAATAGACATAGAATCAGCTAGTGGATAATAAAAAACCAACTGTATGTGGTTTGTGATTTTACCTTTACTGACTTGTACCAAAATGGCCATTATCAGGTAGACAGCAGCTTAAAGGAGATTCTTACTTTAACTATGGGCATTTGCTTTAGCAACAGCTTGATTGTTTCAATAATCACTTTTATTGCCTACATAAAGCTTTCTCTGTGTAACAGGTAGGACAAAAGCATTCAAAGAGACATAAAATTAGAATCTGTTTTTATTTTGTGAATCTTTTCAATCTGTATTTCTTCACTGTGTTATATATTCCATATTATGAGAAATGAATCAAAGTTTCTGGTAGTAAAAATACTAGCTATATAAATTAAAGAATATTGTCAAGGCTTAAAATTACAGAGAAAGTTAGACATGTTTGTATCCTTTTACTGCTTTCCAAATTTCATCTTTTAAAATGTATGATAAGCACTGTGAAAATGTTTAGGGAATTAAAATACTGTATCTTATAGAATGATTTAGTTTCCTGTAAGGAAGTGGCACAGAACCCACTACAAAAGTATACTAATTTCTTGGAAGACAAGAAAGACATTCTGCATATATGCATTTGGTCTTTTAATAAAAATATTTTTAAATTCATCGAAATAATTGGTTATATCTTATATTTTTTATCATAACAATAATAGCAGGTAATAGGTGTCAACCATTGTGCTTGGCAATTTCAGTTCTTCCAGATTGCCTAGTAAAATGGGCAGGAAAAACACCTTAGGCAAGAGCCAAAGCCTTTATGCCACTAGCCTACAGAATTAAGATTTGAACTTAGGTTTGCCTGGCTATTACAATAGTATGTGTTAAGACACCTTTGAAGCTTAATTTTTGGTTTTGATTTTCATTTTCTTTGAAAATATTCCCCCCTTTACATTTCCAATATGTTTTAAGTGCTTTTGAACACTTCTAAAATAATTTTAAGGCAATAGACTTGAAAATAATTTATGATTACTTAAATGTGGCATTAGTTTTATAATTTAATTTGTGATAAAGTAAGAAATACAAATTTGAGGCAGTGAGTTAGCTTAGCTTGTAAAGATACTTTATGCTGCCATGCCTAAAGACCTGAGTTCAATCCACAGGACCAACACACTTGAAGGAGAGACCCAACTCCCAAACATTGTTCATATACAAACATCAAAATAAGTAAATGTAATACTTGAAAAAAGAGTAGAAATGAGCTGGGCAGTGATAGTTCACAGCCAGGGCTACACAGTGAAACCCTGTCTTGAAAAAACAAGTGATGGAGAATGTAGTTCTGTGAATGTTTATCTTATTGATTATTGAATAAAGTACTGTTTGGCCAATGAGGCAGCAAGTTAGGTGGGACTAGGAGTCAAGGAGGATTCTGGGAAATGTAGTAGAGAAGTGGTGATCCAGGCAGGAAGTAACATATCAGGCAGACTCATATATAAGCAAGGGCAAGAAGGAAGTGGTCCCCTTTCGCTATTCCTCCTGCTCCCTGCTCTGAGCCACCATGTAATCCCAGGATGAGGACGCCAGTGGAAGGCGTCCTACATAAGGTCAGTCTTATAGAATATATAGATTTATGATAATTAAGACTGAGCTAGCAGATGAGAAATCCTAGTCATTGGCCAAGCAGCATTTGTACCTAATTTAAGTCTCTGTGTGTTACTTGGGACCTTAACATGGCAGCAGGCTAAACTTGGGCTGCCTGGTGGAAAGCACCCACATGGCTGCAGGGCTTGGTTGGCTGGGTGTAAAGACTTATTGTTTCAAACAAGCAAACAAACAAAGAATGTAGTTGTACTATAAATGGAAAGGTTGAGGGCCTGGGAATATGGCTCAATAATAGAATGCTTACCTAGCATGCAGGAGGCTCTGGATTCAGTTCCCAGCAATTCATATATGTTATGATAAATCTTGCCACCAAATGCTGCCGAGCCCCACCACCACGTGTGCGCTTTACATCAGCTGCCAGCCCGAGTTAGGCCCAAATTAATACACAGAAACTTGTATTAGGTACAATGCTGCTTGGCCAATGACTAGGATTCCCATCTGTTGGCTCAGTCTCAATTATCATACATCTATATATTTTATAAGACTTATCTTAACGGATGCCTTATTGGTGTCCCTCCTTGCCGGTGGATCACATTGCGATGCTGGAGGAAGGGCGGAGGGGAAAAAGGGACACTTCCCTATTTCTCCTTGCTTAAGTATGAGTCTCCTTGCTATGTTACTTCCTGCCTGGATCGCCACTTCTCTACTACATATCCCAGAATCCTCTATGACTCCTAGTCCCGTCTAACTTGCTGTCTCATTGGCCAAACAAGTACTTTATTCAATAATCAACAAGATAAACATGCAAAGACGTACATTCCCCATCACACGTACTCAAAAAGAAAGACCATTTTGTACTATATAGTTACCAAACCACAGAATTGTAATAGTATGAGGTAAAGGAGGCTGGTTTGCTTCTCCTAAAATACCTAGACATCATGATCGTCAGAAAGAAACATAGTGTATACAAATAGTGACTGACCAGGGGGCCTAGTAGCAGATGATGCAGATTCTCAGAATTTTGTATATGTTTGTAATGTGAATCTGTAATAATAATAAAAAAAACTTAAGTGTGCCTATTTGGTACAACATTTTACCAGTCATTTAGAATTTACCCAGGGTATGTTTTAAATTCATTCAAAGATTTTCTTAGATTTTTGTTTGTTTCTGTTTCCTGTCTTGCCCACCTGTCCACTCACTTGAAAATTTCTTACATCTTAATCTTTTAAAGATGTTGGCTGGAAAACAATTAGCTGTGAAAAAAATTACCATACTGTTTCATGTTTCCCATTTCCCTTCTTTATGCAGATTTCTATGGGAAGCCACTGCCTCCCCTGGCTGTGCGACAGAGACCTAATGGTGATGCTCCAGACATGATCTCATAACCAAGTCAGATGGGTTGGTCCTTTTAATATCAGCAAAGTGAACTGAGACCTTTCCCAAAAGTAGAAAAGCCCTGAACACTGATGACTGGGTAAGACAACCATAATTTCAGGGAGGAAAGGATACCCAAAAACTTGACCTGAACATTTACTTCTCCATGGCAGAAAGGAAACAAAAGGACCAGTAGCTGACAAGCATTTGGTCACATTAGCAAGATGTAGTGTTGATTCCTTGGTTTACACGTGCCTACTCTTGGACATTCTCCCAAAGGAAAACCTCCTCAGAAATGGAGCCAATGGACTCTGCATACCTGATTATTTAATAGTCTGTATTTCTATGCATTAAACATGTTTTGTAAGATACATGTACATGAAAAGGGAATCCTGGGAATTTATATCCTAAATTTTAACTATTTTTATATTTTTTCTAAAGCTTTTATTTGAATTTGCGATTATATTGATTGTGCACTTTTCTACAGATGCTTGCTTTAAACTGTCTGGATAGAAAGTTGATTTACATGAAATGTACAAGCAAGATGTGTTTAAATGGCTTGAGGTATGTTTTGTGATAACATTGTTTTTAAAATGTACACCCTATTTTGACACCATTTTAAAATAGTTGCTATTTAAAAAAGAATAGTTGCTATTTTATAAAGCAAGTTTTCAGATCTTTAATTCTACCCAATTACATGATTTGAAAGTAGTAACGGAGGAGAGAATTCAGTTCTGTTGTCACTGTTGGGTTTCCTTGGTGATGGTCTCAATAAATGTTAAGACATGTGAAATAACTTTAAGAAAAAATCCTAACCTTGTTTGAATTAGAAAAAAATATGTCCCACAAGACATTATTCAAAGCCCTAAAAGACCCAACTGAAGGACCGGACACTTTCAGAGCTCAGGTGCCCTCTGCTTGCCAGTCACCTGTGAGGAGCTCCACTGACTGGGTTGTTTCCATTCTTCCATGCCTTGAATTTAAAGGTCAGAAGACTGCAAAGGCTACTGCATGTCTCGAGAGTTCAGTTTTACAGCAGATACAGCCATTCAAATGTTGGCTCAAATCCCATGATAAAGAACTTATTGTAACATTACTTCTTAATTTGAAATGATAGCCCTCATTTTGCTCTTAAATGCCATTCATAAGGCTCTCCATTCATCTGTCCTTTACCAAAACTTCTAGAGATATATTTAGTAATGGATTCATAATGTAGTATTCAATTGAAAGCATGCCTTTGTCAAGGTGAAGATTACAAAGAACAATTCTCATGTCAACTTGTTAGGATTTGGTACCTTGTGTGACCATAGACATATTCTGGTTTCTGAAGGTAAGTCCAGCTAAGGTAGACTGATACGATTATTTGTCTGTTAAATGTTTATAATGCATTGTGTTCACATTTTAGCTCACTGGACCTGGGTCAATCAGGTCACATTGTTCTAGTGAGCACTGGTGGTGTTTCTGTGAGTTTGTGCATCTGCCTTGCACACTGAGGAAAAAGCATTTTAATTTCTATGCAAAACCCATATGCAGAATTAGTAGTTGACTCAGATATGACAGATCATAGGAACACAGGAGGCGAAACCTGAACTGATTTAGAGGCAAAAGGCTCATCCTTTTGATTCATTTTGTAATATTTAAAATCCCTTTTAAAACCAAACTCACACTTTTGCTATCTTTTAACATTCATCTGGTTTGAGAATAAAGATTTTTTAAAAAAAAAATTCTTGCTTTCTACCAGTGTTTACTGTAGAGTACAATAATTACCGACTATTTCATAAGAACAATTTTGAAATTGAATGTAACATAAACTGGGATCGATGTTTTCTATAATAGTATATGTTTTCTTAAAGCAGTGTAAAAATCCTTTAAAAGATGTTTTGTAAATCCTATTGGATTTTAACACTTTTATGCTTATTTTGTTATATTATACATTTTCATTCTTATTCATCATGGATTATAACGTATCACAATAAAAAATTATTTACACCAGTCTCTTTTCCTTTTCTGGTTTTAAATGATTTTATTTAGCTAAACTTTTTTTTTTTAATCATTATTGGGGAAAGAGTTAAATTGGTGGATTAAAGCAACTTTTTATATGAAAACTAAAGATCTGAGAAACAACGTGTGTGTGTGTGTGTGTGTGTGTGTGTGTGTGTGTCTGACGGGGGCGGGGGGGTATTGAATCCCTTGGAAATGGAGTTATAGATGTGGTAAGCTGCCATGTGAGCACTGGACTCAAACCCAGGAACTCTAGAAGAGCAACCAATGTTCTTAACTGCCAGACTGATGCCACCTCTCCAGCCCCATGCCATGTTTTCTTCAAGCAGAAAATTAAACATGGTAAATAACTAATGCATAACCTGTACGGTCAGGATATCTTTTAATAGGTAAATACCAACAAACAGGAAGACAGAGTGTGCCAAAGCAGCAAGGAAAGAGAGCGACCATGTGCTTTGTCTATCCCTTTAAAACCTCTCACACCTCACCCTGACATCACTGGTGGTCAGGGACACCTGTAGCCAGGCCTTAGGAGGCATGGTTACAGTGTCTCCCTACAAAACACTATTTGAATTAATGTTTAGAATTTACCAAAACTCTGAGTAGCTTAGAAAAGTTCACCTATAAAAAAACACCATTGAATGTTTTATTTTACTAAATGTTCTCCAGCTGAAAATATTTTGGGATCGCTAAGAGGGTAAGAGCACACGGTGTTCTTGCAGAAGAACCTGTGTCCTCAGCAGCCACACTGGGTAGCTCATTCCTGGCTGGAACTCTAACTGCAGTACATCTCTCTCCTACCCAGGGCCTTTGCGTTGTCATGCGCACCTCACCCAACCTATAATTAAACATCTTCAAGCATTATTGAGGGCCAGTGTGGTATGCATCTTACTCGGGGTATTCATTTTCTCCCATTCTAAGTAAAGAAATCCATGCTTCTGGGTAAAGGTTTTCAAAAGTTGAAACTGTTTAGGTACATATAGCTGTAGTTTATACATGTTATTACCACTTGTTAGTGTTCAGGCATCTACTGGCCTGTCCTTGGGGTTCTGACAGGATCTGCCCTCAGCTGCAGCCACTAAGAGCACCACCTGTGTATATTTATTACTTTCCCTTTTAAAAGGACCCTGCCCCCTCCCATCCTTCTCTCTCTCTCTCTGCCTGTCTGTCATTCTCTCCCTCCCTCCCTCCCTCCCCTCTTTCCTCTCTCTTGCTGCTCCTGTCCTTGGAGACTGGTCTCCCCCTCCCCTTATTTACGATCCCTTTTCCTATTTTTTTTTTTTTTAAAGCCCTCTGCTTGAACCCTGTCAAACATTGTCTTTCTCTCACTGGCTGCTTTTCTTAAATTACAACACTGCTGGCTTTTAGTACCTGCTTTTGTCTGAATAGAGGATACTTTACTACAAGTGATGTTCTGCGATACTCTTCTGATCTAGAGAATAAATTCAGACAATGCAGGTCTTAAAGTATGACAGAGATGTTAAAAATTGTAATCTTTTTGTTTTGTAGAAATAGAAGTGAAGCTTATTCCTTTCCAGAAACAACAGAAGGAAAAAAAAAGTAGGAAAGGAAAAATGGATTTCCTTTAATTAATGGGTCAACTTTATAACTAAAGGGCAAATAGGATGTAAGTCATCTGTTGTTAAGTTCCACTTATGTACTAATGACAAAACAGTGTACAACAGCGAATTAATCAGTGGTCCCCTAATTTTTATTTCATATTTTTATCAAAGAACACTTGTATATTCTTCTATGCCTGTTGTTACTATATGGCTAGGGTTAGTATAACTAAGCACCACCATCTTAGTGAGTTAAACAGTTGTTTTCTTCCATTTCTGAAGGCGGGAAGTGTAAGGCCAAAGAGCCAGCAATACTGGCTTTTCCAAAGGCTTCTTACCTCTGTTAGGTTGCTGTTTCTCTACTCTGTTGTCCCTAGTGTGTGTCACTGTATCCATTTCAAAAACAGTCACTTACACTGGAGTAGGGCTCATTCTCAGAACACCATTTTAACAGGATCAGTCACTTTTAATCGAAGTCCCAACCTAAGATACTTATGATTAAAACTTCAGTGTGAGCCAAGCCAGGGGTAGTGGCGCACGCCTTTAACCCCAGCACTCAGGAGGCAGAGGCAGGTGGATCTCTGAGTTCAAGGCCAGCCTGGTCTATGGAGTGAGTTCCAGGACAGCCAGGACTATCCAGAGAGACCCTGTCTTCAAAAAACCAAACAAAAGGAAAAAACAAAAACAAAAAAGAAACTTCAATATGAAAGTGTTAGAACAACAAATTTAATCCCTCATACATATATACATATTTACCTGTACATCCTACACCTACCTACAAAACAAAGTTTAACCACAAAACAAAAAAACCTAAAAGGGAATAAAAAAGAGGTTAGATTTGCCTGATCACACAGTGGATTGTGTGCTTGGGTTTCTATACAATACCTGGTTCTCCAAAGTAATAGGAGTCTCACCTGAACTGAAAGTCTATGGCTGCATGGACTATGTCTCTAGCCTTGATTGCAGTACCTCTATGTCATTCTGCTGCTTGCTGTAAGCAACAAAAAGCTCTCACAATGTCTGACTAGTTTTACTACCCAGTGGTTCTTTACCTTTTTTGGCAACCTAAACAAGAGCTTAAGACATGATTTGTATAAATATGAAAATTCATAAAATTGTTTGAAATAGACTGTAAGTGTATCCAAAAGCACTCCTTATATCAAATGATTTAATGATAAAAATGCTTAGATTAAAAAATCTTACCTAGAGGTGTTATTAATCTTTTGTTAACCAAGTCTGAATATACTGGAAAAAAAAAAAAACCTAATGGGGCTGGGATGTAGTTCATTTTAGCATTCACAAAGCTGTGGGTTCAGTCCCCAACAACTGCATAAACTAGGCATAAAAGCATACCACATAGCCTCAGAACCTTCGAGGTGGAAGCAGGGGGATCAATTCAGGTCGTCCTTCTCTGCATGGTGACTTCAAGGCCAAAGAAACAAAAGTAAATTGTCATCTGTGTTTTCAGTAGTTCAAAAGAAGTCTAATAGATTTGACTTTTCCAAGTTTAACTCCCTAGTATGAGTCTACCTCTTATTTTCTGGTCTACTTTATAAATATGAAACTAGTATATTAATTCAGTGGCTGAGACATTTTATAATGAATAAACATAAAATACACCAAATCTCTCTACATTTAACAGCTAAAAGGTAGATGAACTAATTTCCCCTACATATACAACAGGTGGTATTTGTTTAATTATTTGCCTACCAAATATTGTATTTTATTTTGCACTGAATCAAAATTCTAACAAGACACTTTTTAGACTCTTGAGGAACTTGCCTAAATCAATATGCAAAGCTTTAAATCACATTAGTGGCCAAGGATCATTTTCTTTGCATAGGGTTTAGAGACCAGCACCTACCTATGGCATATACCTCTACTGATATTTTGAGCATCCGGTGCTATCTCAAAGTGGTGATGCCTAGTTATTATGAGGCCAAATCGTCTCTGAGAAATTGCAGGTTACAGAGCAAGGAAAATGCTAATGAACGGTTATTCCTAACACAATCAATGTTGCCTCGGGTTGACCTGTGCTGGGGGCTTGGTGGGTCCTTCCTGGTCCCTGGGGAGTCTGTCGTCAGTGCTAGGTATAACAAGAGTCATTATTCAAGTATCAATGATACAATAGCCATTATGTCAATCCAGCCACCTACCCTCAATAAGCCTATTATAAAAACAAAACTGAAAGCGGGAAGCCGAAAAGGGACATTTATTCCATGTGACCACGTTGGGAAAAGGAACAGAGAGATACAGTGGAGCCACACACACCCCCTCCCCATGTCGGTCTTGGGGGGCCCAGTGAAAGATCCGTGTTCTGGGACTGGGGGGGGCACCATGTGGGTTTCAACCTCAACCTGTCAGAAGACGGTCTGACACGCTGGGACTGCTGTGAAGAATCTCTTTCCACAGACAAGCTCCCCTTCCTTTCCTTCTCTCGGGAAGACATTCCTGGGGACGTTACCATCGCTTTGGGGGTTCATTTCTTTCAGCAGGCCGCACGTGGAGACGCCAATGTCTCTCTGGGCGATCTTGATGCCCGTCGGGCTGCTGACAAAGCACACGAACCCGGCTTTCGGGGTGTGCTTCGCCCCGCTTTTCAACGTCCTATTTAACACGGCGCACTCCGAGGCTGCCCTCATCCTTTGCTCAGCGTGGGGCCTCAGGTCACCAACCACTGCAGCCGAACAGCGACCCAGGGCTTTCCCGGACCCCGCGGGCACGGACGCGAAGGGCGACTCTGTAAACCACCACCATCGGCATCGGCCCGGCTCGCTCCTGAGCCCGGCGCCGGCGCCACCGCCCTCCCGGGCAGCCAAGGTCGCGGGACCCGCGCCTCCTGCGAGGTTTGGGTCCCTTTTGAAAGCACCGTCTCGCGAGAACGGAAATAGGAACTGAGCCGGCCCGTGACCTCCTAGCGGTCCCGGAAGTGTGGCTTTTCTCCTGGTTTGCCGCGGACGGCGGCGGTCTGCGAGCGCGGGCGGGACCATGCTGACTCGGGTGAGGCCGCGCGGACGCCGCGGAGAGCCGGGGCGCACGGGGATGGACGGGAGCCGTTCTGTCGGCCCGCGATTGCAGCGGGGTCCAGGCAGTTAGCGCGACCTTTATTCCCGCAAATCAACTATTGTGAGCCGGGCGGTGGTGGCGCTCGCCTTGAATCCCAGCACTCGGGAGGCAGAGGCAGGAGGATCTCTGTGAGTTGGAGGCCAGCCTGGTCTCCAGAGCGAGTGCCAGCATAGGCTCCAAAGCTACACAGAGAAACCCTGTCTCGGAAAAGGAAAATAAAATAAACTATTGTGGAATAATTTTACGTTCACGGGAACGTAGCCGTGGTGATGATACAGCTATCTCTGCAGTGGTAACTAACTTTTAAGCCTCCTGAAATTTCCTTAACATAGATTCACCTTTAACCCGGGCCTCACATTGGGGAGAAACGCCGTTTCCATAAATAGGTAGAATAGCAATAATGTTTTCTTACAAGTGAGGTGTTGCTTCCAAGGCCAGAACTGGTGTTTTAAACAGTTCTTTAAAAGCAGGGAGCCTCACTCTTAGCCCAGGACATACTGGCAGCAGCCGGCGGTTGCTGCCAGAGAGTGAGTTTCCTGCCCTCTGTGGTTCCACACATCCGTGTGTGTAACGACAGCGCTAATTGGATTGGACCGAGTGTATTTTTTAAAAGGACTGTAGGTTTTGAGTGAAACTTACAGGGGGAGCCTCGGAGGAGTTGGAGAAGTGTGTGGGCGGGGTTATTATCAAAATACATTGTATACATGTGTGAAATGCTCAACGAATAAATACAGCTGTAAAGAAAAGAATTAACGTCTTGTTAATGCCAAATTTCAATAAATCTGTAATATCACAATGTGTCGTTTGCAACTTTTTCTTGTCGTCATAGCTGAAGGCAAATTCAGAGGGGAAGCTTGCAAAACAGATATGCAGAGTTGTGTTGGACCAGTTTGACAAACAGTATTCCAAAGAGCTTGGAGAGTCCTGGAATACAGTAAGGTTAGTGTAACTCATCTCTTGGTGTTTTGTGACAGAACAGTGGAAGTGTGTATTATAACTCTTCGATGACAGTGGCACCATGAAGATAAAAGTTTAGTACGTTTTGGGAGGAAGGGTACAGAAAGAATACAGGTGAAGGATTCACCCATATGCCCTCTCCTGCTTGAGCTGTAGAAATGGGGCACAAATAGTTTTTTTTAAAAAAGGAAAGAAAACATAAGGATAGTAAAAATGAACACCTTCCTCCCAAGCAATTGCTTTTGTCTGTAAAAATGGAGATGCTCTGCATTTTAAAGCGATGCTGTAACAGAAATCCTAACTTGGAAGAAATTTAACTGTGAAATTCAGGAAATAACAAATCCTTAAAGTCAGTGATCCTTTCTCTTAGTTAAAGTCAAACATCGGCTCCATTATGTCTGTATTTGGAACACATGGATAAATCTAAATGTATTTTAAAAAATAAGCATATAATGCAGAAAAGTAACCAATGGGCCCGTGTGATGCTGGTGTTCAGCCGGTGGGTACAGAGGGACTTGACAACAAGACTGTCAGCCAGAGTGGGAACTACATTGTAAGTTGTCCTCTGACCTTCAAGCTCAGTTGTACTCCATGTCTTGTGAAATAAATTCAGTAATTTTTTTTAAGAGACAAATACAATTTGTGTGTTTGGTGAGTTTGTGCTCTTGACCAGAATGGTAATGGCTGGGTTTTTGTATGGAGTGCCTATTATGTATATATGATACCCCCTGGAATACAAAAAACAGTATAGTCCTGTTTAGTTTACAGTCTATTCATGGGAGAAGTAAATGGGAGGGGCATGGTAAACATTCCAGAAACATGGAGCAAGAATGGCATGTTTTATTTGTTGAATGTGTGGGTGCCAGTAAAAGCGACTGGTGAATTTGGGATTAACTTGGTAAAAGGGACCAGACAATAAGGACTGGGCAGAGATTGCCTAGGCCATCCGTGTCACACCACCACCCCTCACCCCCACCTCCCCCCACAGTAAAGAGGAAAAAGTGGTATGACTGTAGATAGTCTGAAACTTAGCTCAGACAGCAATTTCTTGTGATTGTTTTATATCATCTCTTCTTAGATTAGCTTAATAAGTGTTTCTCCTTTTCACAGAACAGTATTAAGCATATTTTGAGACAAAGATTAAGTCTTATGAATAAAGATGATAAAGTTTGAAGTGGGTCAAAGATGATTTTAGGATATTAAGATACTTAGGAAACTTATAAATATGGAAATGCAAGTTATTTCAATAATGCTACAGTTCATAATGAGTCTTAAATCAAAAAATTGAATAGTGAAATATATAATGAATTCATGAGGTGTTTAGCATGTAAAGGTATTCATATAGACTAACTAAAGAACCACACACCTTGCATGAATATTGTATGGAAACAATACCTACCTAAGTACTCCTGAGAACGAACTTGAGGTTTGTTTTCAGTGTTTCTGGGGCTGTAGCATGGAGTTAAAGTAATTTGCCTAAATTCATTAGGTTAGTAAGTCTCCGTGGAACTTTTGCCCAGTCTGTCTCCATCCAGATCTCCACTACTGATTGTTCTGTCTCATACCTGGGATATAATTAGCATTCTTGGGTGATTTAAAACAAAAGATTATTTTGTCTAGAGACTTTTTAGTAACTGGCTATTCATAACCTGTAATGAGTTGATTTTCTACTCCATATAGCCAGAAAGACTTATAAATTACTATTTGACCCTGAACAAAATGAGCAGTGAACCTCAAAGCCATTTAATTAGGGGTGCCTTCTGTTCCATCCACCCTTTTGGTAGGATTTCATGGTAACTTAAGTTTTGCATAAACATGTACTAAATTTGCCATAGGCAAAATGAAAGCTTTCTTAGAAAGGCTGACCATGGAAGATAGCACAAGGAAATAACAGAATGGCATGTTTGCTTTACAACTATCTGTGAACATAATGGATTGTATGCAAGGGTTTTTACTTTCAGCTTTGTCTTCCCACCCTCCCTCATGTCTCTCAAATGTATGTAGCAATGGGGAAGACTTTATTTCAGGGTTTCCGTAATTCAGCTTTTGCTATCCTTGCTTCCAGCTTGTTGCCTTCAAGGAAGTTCATTCAGAGCAGACCTTTAACCTTTGGTTCATGTGATGTCTTCTCCACTGTGAAGTTCTTTTGCAGACTCAGTGCATTACTTGCTTTTTCTAGCAATTCCTCTTCCTTCTCCTGGTCAGCATAGTCATATGGATGCCATTGTTCCATTCTAAACCAATGTTGCTTCGAGGATTTATGTAGATTCACTCCTTTGGAGGCCTTGCTGTCAATCGTGTCTTACTCCACTATACCCTTAGTATCTTTGTAGTAAAGAAGTTTATAGGGAAGTCTTGTTTTCTCTCAGCTCCTGAGAGATGCTCTCTAAGTCCTTGAAATGTACTCATACTGTCCTGTTAAGAGTGAGATGTTTACCTGGGGGCTTGTACCACACCTGCTAGTCTAACAGTATGCTTTACAGAGGGAGTTGCAGACCACAGATAAGGGAACAGCATCCAGGGGGTTTGGTGGCTAAAGTTGGCTGTAAAGACTGTCAGTTCAGTTTCCATGACAGAATCTCCAAAAGAAAGCTTGGTACCTAAGTTTTTGTGAGCATCCTTGGTTGACAGTATTACCCCACATTGCTGTCTGGAAAAGCTAGACTTCTTGCTTCTACTGGCCCAAGTAACTCCCATGAGTTGTCTCTTCCAAGGAGTGTTTCAGTTTGAGAGTGTTCTATGAATTTTGGAATGTGGAGTAACCTCTAGGATCCCTGAAGTTGTAGTTGCTATGGAAACTGCATAGTCTTGGCAACTCTGTATCTGTGTCTTACCTCAGATCATTCCCTCCCCTAGGAAAAGAGAAAACGGCTGCCAAAAGCTGTTGCTTCTCCCTAACACATGTTTTTACTTGGATACCCTTACTTACTTAGCCTTCCTCAACTAACACCAGTTCTCTGAGGTACACTTACTTCCACTCACAAATAGACACACAGAGGTCAAATAACTTGAGAAGGCATATATACCGTGTATTTGGAGAGGGCATGCGGATTATTATTATTTATATTTATTTGTTTATTTGGATTTTCAAGATAGGCTTTCTCTGTGTAATAGCCCTAGCTGGCCTGGAACTCACAGAGATCCACCTGCCTCTGCCTCCCGAGTGCTGGGATTAAAGGTGTGCGCCACCACCGCCCAGTTTGTGAATTAGTCTCAATCACTCTGCCATGCTGCTTCCCAGTGTTGCCCTGCCCACAGACCCTTCTTGTGCCTTCTCTATTTGCAGTGTTGCATTTGAACCCAAGCCAGTAGGAGTAAAGAGGCTCTCCTGGGCCTTTGGTCTAGATCTGCTGTCCTTCCCTCAGCAGGTGAACCCTTCCTTCCTTCCGTCTAGTGGTTAGGAGTGTGAGTTCAGAGCTCTCAGCATTTTTGTAACATATAACTTAGATGAGTTACTGAAAATCTCTGCCACACGGTCCAGATCTGTAAGACAAGCAAAATAATACCCAGTCCATTGGTTACTTCAGAAGAGAAAATGAATTCTCATAAATATCTGCACCATTGCGTCTCAACCTTCCTAATGTTGTGACTCCTCAATACTTACTGCAGTTCCCCATGTTGTGGTGACCCCCAAATGTAACGTTGTTTTCGTTGCTCCTTCATAAGTGTAATTTTGCTACTGTTATGAATCCTGATGTAAATGTCTGTGTTTTGTGATGGTCTTAGGCGACCCCTGGGAAGCATTACCAGGAAAAGGTAAGAAGCCTTCAGCCCCTGTTAAAATCTAAAGAATAAAGAGGAAATGCCTTGGAAACAACTTCAGGTGAAAGTTTCCGTGCTTCCTGTGTTTCTGAGGCCAGCCCTCAAAGTGATCTAGGGAACACCCTCTAGTGGACAGTGAGGATTTGGGAAAAGGACTGGCTACATTACTTCAACCATGGAAATGTAAATCTTAATGGCCACTGTGCTTAGCAGCTCTACTTCATTACTGGAGAGGAACGTTGGGTAGGGAATAGACTAGCAGGAGAAAGAGAATGTCACAGAAAAGCTAAATGAAGATTGCATTGCCAAATATGTAATTTTTCAACATTTTCCCTTTTTAAGGGCTCAACTTTAGTTAAAATTGTAATTATAGGGGTCAAGGTATATCTCAATGGTAGAGTGAATGAAATAGTCAGCATCCATGAGACCCTGGGTTTTATCACAGGCACCAGATATACAATAAGAGTAATGGGTAAGAAAACAGATTCTTTTACATTATCCAGAAGCTTGCGCACCCAGTAGTTAGAGAGAATTGAGTTATGCCCCCCCCCATACAAACCAGCTGGAGAAAAATAGCCAAGCTGACAGTATAGTATGGCTGGTGCTAGTGTGACTTCACTGACTTTCTCAAAGGTCAATCAGTCCTGTGTACGAGTTTAGGTTTTTTTTATTATCTTTTTAAGTCACTTTGCATAAGATTTAAACATAAAAATGTTTATTTTGTGTATGCCCAGAGCATAGTGTTTATTTAGAGAATGAATGAGTAAATCTTAGCAAGAAGACATAATGATCTGGCATGTTGTAGTAAGAATAAGAACCATAGCCGGGTGTGGTGGTGTATGTACACCTTTCATCCCAGCACTTGGGAGGCAGAGGCAGGCAGATCTCAGTGAGTTTGAGGCCAGCCTGGTCTACAAAGCTAGTCCCAGGACAGCCAAAGCGGTTACACAGAGAAACCCTGTCTTGAAAAAACAAACAAAAGAAGAAAGAAAGAGAGAGAGAGAGAGAGAGAGAGAGAGAGAGAGAGAGAGAAAGAAAAGAAAAGAAAAGAAAAGAAAAGAAAAGAAAAGAAAAGAAACAAACCATGAGTCACAAAGGCTTTGGTAGGCATTGACAGTCACGTCAAGTTTCAACAGTCTCTAAGCCCTTTCAGAAGAGTGCCGTCCCATCTACCTAAGCCAGTTCATACTCTTCCTTTCCCAGCTTGCCTTTCAGTGGTT